ATCAGACGGCAAAAGACCAAAAGTTCTAGGAGAGGCGCCTGATTTTCTGGCATGCGGCATGCTTGGCCCGGGCGCCTGCGCCTCCCTGCGCTTCCAGTTCCAAGGCAGAGCACAGAGGCACAGAGCACTGCATGCCGAATTGCCGACTTCACTGTGACTGTCACCACTGTGAGAACTGGGCGGAGACTTGAAACCAAGTGGTAAACAAAATAATTAGAGTAATTTGGAGAGAGCAACAGGCAGGACCGTGTTGCGCTTGACTTACTGGTCACTCGTCTGGCGCCCTGTGTTTCTTCCTTGTGTGTGTAGTGGACTAGTGGTATCGTCCAAGTTCCACAGGATGCTGATGCGAATATTGCGATGTAGCTAGTCATGTAGCATAGGTATGCCAATATGCCATGTGGGATGCAGCATGCAATGCAAGCACGGCCTGGACATTGCTGCTTTCTTAGGGCCGGTGCTTGTACGAACTATGAAGCCTACTTGTGGAGGTGGAGGGCGGGAGCGTTGACAAGGCGCGATGAGAGTACTGAAAATGGGCACGCAGGACGAAGATTCGGGCACTTTGGAATAATCAAATAAAGATAAATTTATTTTTCGGAATAAGAAATGTACCATGCTCCGCAAAATTCGATTTGTTTTTGCTAATGAGGTATATATTGTTTCTTATGGTCTTTTTAGTTGTGATTGCGAGTCTTGTGACTGCAAAGAAAGCATGTATATGCGAATGCAAGTAAAACTAATTGGCAACTAGTCCACAGGAATAACTCAAATTCGTACCAGCTGGCTATATGCTACTACACAAGCACCCCCATCACCCATGACGCTCTAAGATCTTATTTCAAACTAATGAGCCCGTTTTTTTTCCTTCAACTCTTACATTTATCTAATTTTAATCTTCAATTGAAAATTCAGTAAATCTGGCACCTTAACTATTAATATTATTTATTTTGGACCTAATAGTCTTATTTTTGTGGGTTTTAAGTAGTTTGAGCCTACCTATCATATGTGCTCCCTCTCTCTCTCCCACTGCCACCTTCCATAATCGTGTCCAACGTGCTAGCTTTTGTGCTGCCACTGTACTTGTCTATGCTGTGTGCAAACCGTCCTCGGCCTGTTGCCTTGCACTCCCTCCGTCTCTAGAAGCGTCTAATTTTAGACCCGAAGTTGTGTCCGCGGAAGCTTGCAATTTTAGACCTGTAAAGGCTAGCGGCGGTGGGACCCTCTCCTTTGCACCTCGAGGAATCTACCATTAGCTTCTCGTCTAGCCAATCAGCTATCGGTACTGTGGCGTGTGCGTGGAATGGAAGACGAAAAACTATGTGTCCAGTAGAGGGGCATGTGTCTTTTTTCCTCTTCGCTAACTTCGTCTCGAGAACCTATATTTGCAAGCATTTTGGGATGGAGGCATTTTGGGAACTGGGCGGAGACTTGAAACCAAGTGGTAAACAAAATTATTAGAGTAATTTGGAGAGAGCAACAGGCAGGACCGTGTTGCGCTTGACTTACTGGTCACTTGTCTGGCGCCCTGTTTTCTTCCTTGTGTGTGTAGTGGACTAGTGGTATCGTCCAAGTTCCACAGGACTAGATGGAGTGTATTGCGATGTATCTAGTCATGTAGCATAGGTATGCCAATATGCCATGTGGGATGCAGCATGCAATGCAAGCACGGCCTGGACATTGCTGCTTTCTTAGGGCCGGTGCTTGTACGAACTATGAAGCCTACTTGTGGAGGTGGAGGGCGGGAGCGTTGACAAGGCGCGATGAGAGTACTGAAAATGGGCACGCAGGACGAAGATTCGGGCACTTTGGAATAATCAAATAAAGATAAATTTATTTTTCGGAATAAGAAATGTACCATGCTCCGCAAAATTCGATTTGTTTTTGCTAATGAGGTATATATTGTTTCTTATGGTCTTTTTAGTTGTGATTGCGAGTCTTGTGACTGCAAAGAAAGCATGTATATGCGAATGCAAGTAAAATTAATTGGCAACTAGTCCACAGGAATAACTCAAATTCGTACCAGCTGGCTATATGCTACTACACAAGCACCCCCATCACCCATGACGCTCTAAGATCTTATTTCAATCTAATGAGCCCGTTTTTTTTCCCTACAACTCTTACATTTATCTAATTTTAATCTTCAATTGAAAATTCAGTAAATCTGGCACCTTAACTATTAATATTATTTATGTTGGACCTAATAGTCTTATTTTTGTGGGTTTTAAGTAGTTTGAGCCTACCTATCATATGCGCTCACTCTCTCTCCCACCACCACCTTCCATAATTGTGTCCAACGTGCTAGCTTTTGCGCTGCCACTGTACTCGTCTATGCTGTGTGCAAACCGTCCTCGGCCTGTTGCCTTGCACTCCCTCTGTCTCTAAAAGCGTCTAATTTTAGACCCGAAGTTGTGTCCACAAAAGCTTGCAATTTTAGACCTGTAAAGGCTAGCAGCGGTGGGACCCTCTCCTTTGCACCTCGAGGAATCTACCACTAGCTCCTCGTCTAGCCAATCAGCTATCGGTGTTGTGGCGTGCGCGTGGAATGGAAGACAAAAAACTATGTGTCCAGTAGAGGTACATGCGTCTTTTTTCCTCTTCGCTAACTTCATCTCGAGAACCTATATTTGCAAAAAATTTGGGATGGAGGCATTTTGGGACGGAGGGAGTGCTTGTGTGCTGCTATACACACTATCTCTTGCCCGTCAATTGTCACGGAGGAAATGGAGGAACAAAGGAGGTTTTCCATGGCCGAGGTCAATTCTAGGTCTTAGCTACACGTTGGTTCAAGTTTCCGCCCCTTGCATGCATGCCTTGTGTTTGGGGAGGGTTGAACAGGAGAGAAAGAGAGAAAGGGCACCACCATGCCATAAAAGCACCATTAGCTTCGGGCAATCTCGCGCATGTGCTTGATGATGGGGGGATGGGCTACGATGGAGGGCCAATGGATAAGACAAAAGGGAGGTGGAGCCGTGGAGGGCTCTAAGTGCACATATTCTTTGGTGCGGTCAGGCGTGGTGCCATGGATGGTGAAGTGGGAGGGAGTCAGCGATGACTAAGAGAGAGTAGGGGAGAGGGAGATGGAGGTGGTATTGGTGAGAAAATGAGAGAAAGAAAGATGAGTGTGTTACATGTGAGTTCTAGCCAGTGGACTGGAAACCACCAAATTTTTTTTGATCGGGTACAACTTAGACGCACACAAGCTAAGGGGGTTAAAATAGAACGATGTCGGTAGTTAAGATGCTAAATTTATTCGATTTTGCGGTTAGAGATCAAAATTGGATAAACATAAAAGTTAAGGGGCCAAAAATAAAATCATTCCCATTTCGACGGATGGGCTCGAACACAACTTTTTTTTCATTTATGGACATGTGCTCCATGTGTAGGAGGACAAGTTTAACTTCTCGATGTGATAGACACAGAGAAAGGGCACTGTCAAAGCCACAGAGCACCATCGGACATGGGACATGTGCGAGGCCAATCTAGCCGTGCTAGTCTCACTACACACTGGATAAGGGAGAAGGCAGGGAGATGGAGGGCTCTAAGTGCACATATTTTTTGGTGTGGTTGGATACGGTGCTATAGATGGTGGAGTGGAAGAGAAACGGTGGTAGAGGAGAAGAGAAGGAAGAGAGAAGATAGAGGCGGTGGTAGTAACAAAGGAGGAAGGGAGAGCTAGAGTGTCTTAATATGCCTACAGAAAGCACCATAATCAGATTGGTGATCAAAAAAATGGTGTTGGTAATTAAGATGAAAATTTATGTTAGATATTAAAATTAGATAAATACCAAAGTTAAAGGACAAAAAAAAAAAGACTTCGTGTTTCGAAGAGGTGGGAACCAGTGAACATTGCTTCGTCGCACAAAAGGTTCAACGAGGCAACGTGGAAGCACCCGCCACCACCGCTGCTCCGCAATCCCCATCCCCCCACCCCCCCACCCCACTATTTAAAACGCGCGTCGCGACGTCGGGGCTCCTCTTCGCTACTGTCATCAGACTTCAATACTCAGTAGTAGGCTAGAAGCGCGGCGCAGGTCGCGTAGCTGTGGGAGTCCCTCTTCCCGCGGGAGCGGTCGCTGAAGTAAGCAAGCGGATAGGATCGAGAGGGAGACCGGAGGAGCAACGCCGCCTTCTCAGTTTCTCACTTGCGGCCCCTCTCCTCTTCCTCCTCAGCTCCGCTTCGTGCAGAACCTGAACCACCTTCCTCGCCGCCATTTCTTCTTGGCTTCCTGAAAAGAAGAGCTTTTCAATTAATTATTCAGGTGAGTTCTTGCCAAATCCCGTTCATCTGGTTACTATCTACTTGCGTCGTGTACTCGTGTATGTGTATGTATGCTTTGATCTTATTTTTGTTCTCGAGCAATTGTGTTCTGCGAATGTTCGCGTTAGCTCAGCGTTTGTTACTTTACTTCTTGCAGTAAAAATAAAATCTTTTCTACCGTATTCCCTTCTCGGACAGATAAGATTCAGTTCTGTTCTTTAGAGGAAATAGTCTGTGTCTTCGTCAGTACTTATGCATCAATTGCACAAGTATCTGTTCCCTCTGCTAGTTTAGTTGGCATGTCGTGATTCCAAAAGTAGGAAGGTGTTATCGTCAGTGTAGTTGAATTAATTGTCAGTGAAGCTGAGCAATATATATGCTCAAAAAGGGGTTCAGTTTCATCGCTCTAAGTCATACTCGCTTCCCCTCCCCAGTTATACATTTATTTTGAACAGAGGACAGTTGGGCCAGACAGGTTGTTAGAACAAGCCAACATGGTAGGTGCACTACTACTATTTGCACATCTGGTCATTATTTCCCCCTCCATTAAAAAAAATCATGTCAAGATAGATATTTATTTCCCTGATCGTACAAATCCACATCACCAAGAATGATGCTACTACTAATCATTATTTTAAATAGAGTTAAGTGATTCTCTTTTCTTTGATGTATATAGGAATTGAAGTTTTGGATATTTGCGCTGTTGGGGATATGACAAGTTGCTAATTTTCTCGGAGGGATGGCTAAGTTTGGAGACGTCCTCTGTGCACTTACCCTACTTGTGTTGCTCCCCTGCTCGGATGTTGCATTGGGGCAGACTACTGACCCTTCCGAGGGTAATTTCTGTTTGCCATATGTTAATTCGTGAGAATGTTTGGAACTTTCTGCAAGTGAATGAATGGTTTCTTCCCATAATGCAGTCGATGGGCTCAGGGCTATCAAGGGAAGATTAGTTGATCCTATGAACAACCTTAAGAATTGGAATAGGGGAGATCCGTGCACGTCAAATTGGACAGGAGTCTTCTGCCACAAAGTGAATGATGATGCATTTCTTCATGTGACAGAATTGTATGATCAGTACTAATATTTGATTTATTCATCATAGTTTGTTTCTTCTATCCGTCAGTCTTGGTTACCATGTTGCTCTTGTTTAATAAAAATCAACAGACACTATTATTGTCAAAGGTAGTTTGTATGGTCAAATGCCAACTTCATGTGACTTCTTGAGGGGAAAAAATAATGTTTTCTGCATGTACACATAAATCCAACTGTAACATGAACTGCCCTTGGTTGGCAATTGTCCAATCATGTGAACATGAAACATCAGTCCTGTTAGTCGTATCAGACTAAGTTTACAAATCCTAGCACCATTGCTCTCTAGCTTCTTTTCTAGGGCTTTTGTTTTGCTTGAAATATCATGGGTTTTGTAAAGTTTGTTTATTTTATTACATCAGCGCGATATGGAATATAACAACCCAGTAACTCATTAAGTCGTTTCTGTAAGGTTGAAGTTGTTCCTAGTAGCATTAATTTTATCTCCATGCAGGCAGTTATTTAAGAGGAATCTCTCAGGAACTCTGGCACCAGAGGTCAGTCTTTTATCTCAGCTGAAAACATTGTAAGTATTACTCTGAAATTTGAACTTCCTCTCTTTTTTTAGTTCTCCTGCATTTTGTAAATTTTAAACTGTTCTAATTTCCATTCGCTATCTTTTCAATACGCGCATAAAATCATGGTGCCTTGCTAGCAAGTTTTCTTCACAATTTTGATTTCTTATTTCATGGTTTCGAGCAGATTTTTGTTCTTGATTCCTTTTCTTTCAGGGAACATTTATTCTTGATTCTTAAGCTATTCAACTAAATGCTGTGTTTCTTGAAGGGATTTTATGTGGAACAACTTAAGTGGTAGCATCCCAAAGGAGATAGGCAACATCGTTACGCTCAAACTTATGTAAGTTTTCTTTTTCTATTATTTTTCTTACCTCTCGTTGAATTATTCAGCATGTCTCAACCTCATAATGCACACAACACAACATCAGTTTAACATTACCATTTATAATTAATAAACATTTCTCCACAGTATCTGTGTTAAATAACATTGATATAGTTATTTTCATGCCTTTTGCAGACTTTTGAATGGCAATCAACTCTCTGGTATTTTACCAGATGAGATCAGCAACCTTCAAAGTTTAAACAGATTACAGGTTGACCAAAACCAATTGTCCGGACCCATACCTAAATCATTTTCCAATTTAAGAAGTGTGAAACATCTGTAAGAATTGTTTATTTCCATTGTCTATTTGTCTCTCTGTTTTTCCGTTTCATTTGTACTTATTTCTAACCTCAACCATCCTGTTCATTTTAGTCATATGAACAATAATTCGTTAAGTGGGGCCATCCCGTCTGAACTTTCCAGATTGCCTCTTCTTCTTCACCTGTATGTGGAACTCTACTTCTTTCCCGATTTTTATTCTTCTGCAAATCAAAAAATGAAATATTAAATTAGTCTTCATTCTCATACTTTAATGCAACCTTGTAGGCTTGTTGACAATAACAATCTATCTGGACCTCTTCCTCCAGAATTTGCTGAAGCGCCTGCCTTGAAAATATTGTATGTACCTAAATTTTCTTGCGTTGGGTTTGTATTTACCCCACTGATTGTCAGAATAAAATTGCTTATCATAGAAGCATATAACTGTTTCTGACATCATATCATTCTGTCTTTACTAGTCAGGCTGATAACAATAATTTCAGTGGAAGTTCCATCCCTACTACATATAGCAACATATCCACACTACTAAAGCTGTAAGAATGGCCTTTTCTGTTATTCTTTTGATTTTTTTATCCTTTCTCCCTTATTATATGAAAATTAAAAGGTGTGAATATCTTTTGTTCACCATGAATCATATAATAATTTAGTTTTAGCCTTTACTCAAAAGGTAATTGCAAGCACCCATGGTGCCAACATCCAGCTTCAATAGACTAAACTTATACAGAATTAAAAAGACCTGAGGAGAATATTTCTTGTATTATCAGGAGTCTTAGGAACTGCAGCTTGCAAGGAGCTATTCAGATCTGAGTAGCATACCTCAACTTGTCTATTTGTGAGTACATCTCAGTATTAGTTCCCAATTAATGTATTTTAGCATTATGACTATCAATTGTTGCTATGAACTTGGCTCTTGGAACAGTTTAAATTAGAAACTTATTAAGATTAGTGTGGTTTTTGCCTTTTCAATAGGTGCCCAACTTTTCTGTTCATACAGTTCAGGACATGTCTTAATAACTCTCACATTCGTTTTTCAGGGATATTAGCTGGAACCAGTTGACAGGATCTATACCAACTAATAAGCTTGCTTCCAATATCACTACAATGTATGTAGTTAAGATAATGCTTCTCTATTTTCGTTAATCATCGATTTAATTCTAGTTATGTGGCAGTGATTTGTCGCACAACATGCTCAGTGGAACTATCCCACAGAACTTCTCAGGGCTCCCCAATCTTCAGATATTGTAAGTGTAGCTTGCTCAACAGTCTTCGAACAGCCTTTTGCATTGAATATGGATATGATTTCTTTTGCATATGGTTCTGTTTATTTTCACTGCAAATATGTGAACTTTATATATGTCTTATCCAGTGAAGAGATTACAACGACTTCTGTTTGTAATCTTCCCATAACTGGATTCAAATCTGTGATCATTTTATCTAGATCAATATAAATCGTGAGTCATATTAGTTAGCTTATAAAAAATGCATTTGAAAATAAGAATACATATGTAAAGCTTTTCAAGCTGTCATATTTTTATTATTTTTGTTCTTAAATCACTTAAATTTTATTTTGCAGGTCACTCGAGGATAATTATCTAAATGGTTCTGTTCCCTCGACAATCTGGAATGGCATTGGGCTTACTGGTTATAGAAGCCTTGTTCTGTATGAACTTTTCTGCAGAAGTAATTCTTTTCAGATCTAACTATACATATGTACTAATATTTTTATAATAACACAGAGACTTCCAAAACAATTCTCTCAAGACAATTCCGGCCGCATTTGATCCTCCCCCAAATGTCACTGTAATGTATGTTCTCATACATTTCTGCTATGCATTTCAGTTTTCATCTCCACATCAATAATATCTATAGTCCCTGTGCACACTGAATTGCGATTATGCACCTTTCTTTATAGGATGCAGTATTAATTGATATTGTATATTCTGTCAAATTAAAGCTGTACAGACCTCCTTTTTCCCTTTGTGACCAAGCTTTTGTATCTATGTAACAGTGAGACTATGTTTTAAGTATTTGACAACAGTTCTCTTCATATCCTACACTTGAATCATCATGCATGTGTGAAAATCAGAACTAGAACTGAAAATTGCACTTTTCTCAGTGGCAAAGAAAATTCCAATTCCCTTTTGAGTAACCTTTTCATGCAATGGATAGTGATCACCACTGCTGTCATTTTTGGCAGGCTATATGGAAACCCTGTGTGTGGGGATACGAATGGAGCTCTGATAACCAACCTGTGCCAACCCATGTCAGTAAACATGCAAACATCGAAAAATGAACAAGGCTCTAGTTGTCAACCTTGCCCTACAGATAAAAATTACGAGTACAATCCATCATCACCAATACCTTGCTTTTGTGCGGTGCCACTTGGAGTTGGACTTCGGCTGAAGAGTCCAGGAATCACAGATTTTCGTCCCTATGAAGATGCCTTTGAGATCAACTTAACCTCTTTATTGCAACTGTTTCTGTATCAGCTAAATATTGAGAGCTACATATGGGAGGTTGGTCCAAGGCTAAATATGCACATGAAGTTATTTCCAAGTAATTCAAGTTTATTCAATATATCTGAGATTGTGAGACTCAGACACATACTTGCTGGCTGGGAAATAACTCTTTCAGATGTATTTGGTCCATATGAGCTTCTCAACTTCACACTAGGTTCTTATGCAGATGGTATGTGTTCACTTTGAAGATATTAATTCTATTATTTAAAACCTGTGCCTAGCAGCTTATTTTTTAGTTTTTCTGCGAGGAAAAAGTACAGTGGCAGGACTTCAGGGGAGTTTCTGTGTTTTATTTCGTGAAATTATTTGGATCATTACAATAGTTTTTTTATTGCATTTCTGTTAGCTTGATTAGCAGAGTGTAAATGTGTAATGATTGCATGCAACAAAACACATTACTTCCTCAAACAAATGATAAATTATAGCATTTGCTTTTTACAGTGATAGGCTGATTGGCAATTACTTTTTCCTTGACTTATATTTCATTGAATTTCTGTCCACTCACTTAGCCCAATTAAACATCTATTGGTGCATAAAAACATTCTATTTATCGCATTTTGCAGAATTTCCAAATGCAGCCTCAACAGGTTTAAGTAAGGCTGCACTGGGCTGTATCTTGGCTAGCTCAATTGCTGGCGCTATTTTACTTTCTGTGGTAGCTACCACGCTTATAGTGAGAAGGCGTTCAAGACATAGAACTGTCTCAAAGCGTTCATGTAAGTCATTTACATTTGGTTGTACTGAGTGACTTTTTAGCTTTGTAGCACATAGCTCGTTCAAGAGAGAGGACCTGAACATACATATCATGCTGTTTGCAGTGTCAAGGTTTTCTGTCAAAATTGATGGCGTTAGATGCTTCACATTTGAAGAAATGGCTATAGCCACAAATAATTTCGATCTATCAGCCCAAGTTGGCCAAGGAGGTTATGGAAAAGTCTACAAGGGGATTCTAGCCGATGGGACAGTTGTAGCAATCAAACGAGCACATGAGGATTCTCTTCAAGGTTCAAGGGAGTTCTGCACAGAAATAGAGTTATTATCAAGATTGCATCATCGCAATTTGGTTTCATTGGTTGGCTATTGTGATGAAGAGGATGAGCAGGTGAAACCTTTTGGTTTTAGTTGTATATATGTAGAAAATATAGTTTGTCAGCATCCCTGAACTGCTCCTCAAATCTTGTTTTGCAGATGCTGGTTTATGAATTCATGTCAAATGGCACTTTACGTGACCATCTTTCTGGTAAGTAATTGGAGAGATCCATTATCAGGTATTTGAACATTTTCTCTTTCTTATGCTAATCAAAACACCTCTTATTTTACATCATTTGCTAACCACAGCCAAGTCCAAGAGACCTCTAAGTTTTGGTTTGAGGTTGAAAATCGCATTGGGTGCTGCAAAAGGAATTTTGTATCTACATACTGAAGCAGATCCACCTATATTCCACCGTGATGTTAAGGCCAGCAACATTCTGTTGGACTCCAAATTCGTCGCGAAGGTAGCCGATTTTGGTCTCTCAAGGCTTGCTCCAGTGCCAGATGTCGAAGGGACATTACCAGCTCATGTCTCCACTGTTGTTAAGGGCACCCCAGTAAGTGTCAGACTGTCAGTCATATCGACAATGTCAAAATAACCATGCTTTCTTTTGCAGCAGTACTATATCATATCTTTATTATCTTGGCAGGGCTATCTTGATCCAGAATACTTCCTAACTCACAAATTGACGGATAAGAGTGATGTTTACAGCCTCGGTGTCGTGTTCCTTGAAATGTTGACTGGTATGAAACCAATTGAGCATGGTAAAAACATCGTGAGAGAGGTATGCACTCTTCAGCTATGGATACATTGCACTTTTAAAGGATAGCCAGTTCTCACAAAACTAAAAAAAAATGACAGCTGAAACCGGTTGAAAATCCATAAGCTTAGACTGTTATTATCATGAGACTTGTGCTTGCTGTCGGTAAAAAAACAAGCACATATGTAATGACGAACTGCATTTTCCTATTCCTGTAGGTAAACTCAGCTTGCCAGTTGGGCACAGTTTCTGAAATAATCGATGGCCGGATGGGCTTGTGCCCCCCAGAATGCATCAGGAGGTTCCTATCACTAGCAACCAAGTGTTGCCAGGATGAAACTGATGCCAGGCCTTCCATGTGGGAGATTGTAAGAGAACTTGAGCTCATCCTGAGGATGATGCCTGAAGAGGACCTGATTCTGCTGGAAACCTCAGAGACAGACTCGACCGATGTCAGTAAATCGTTGACTTCAGAGACTGGGACCCTCTTCATCTCGTCACAGGCCTCTGGGAGTCTTAATGCGAGCAGCAGCATGATCTCTGGAAGGGTAACTCCTCGGTAGGCATGGTGTAATTCTTGTGAATATGCAGCAAGTTTGTTCTGTAACATTATAGGCTTACCACTCCCAGGTCGTCTTTTCTGAATTATTCAGCTGGCATTGCCTTCTTTAACCTTCTGATATGTTAATCTTCTTTCTGTAAATGAATACAGCTTTGAGTGCTGACATGTTTAGGGTCTATTCGGTGTTAGAAGTAACAAGGTTTTGCCACAGAAAGTCATTGCAATTAGTCTCTTTGTTAATGATTCTCACTTCATATGCGCAGAAGCAATTAGTCTCTTTGCTAATGATTCTCACTTCATATTGCACAGAAGCAATTAGTCTCTTTGCTAAAGTAGCACACAGGGGGTTCTGAGTACTTATTTACATGAATCAAGGGCTACCTACGTTGATAGATGTACTTTTCGCCGCAATATATGGGTTGTAATTGGACACCCGTAATTTCAGAAAGAACAGGTCAACAAAAACGAGCAAAATGGATGACCTGACAGGAGAGCGCATCACTAGCATGGCGGCGTTCGCTTACCAAAGAGTGCCTAATATTGCAAGTTCGATGTAAACTAATAGGAAAACTACCGCCGTCCTCGGAGTTTTCTCCTTTTGGCACCTTTTGGAGGCTCAGCAACAGGTGATTCTTCCTGGTCAGGCTCTTCCTTGGTACCCCCACTGGCATTCTTGTCATCAGGCTCAGCCTCTTTCACATCATCATCGATAGCTTTTATTATATAAATCTGCAATAGATAAGAGATTTATGCGGAGTTCATACAATCAGGTCCAACAAATATAATATACTAGAACAAATGGTTAACCTTGAGTGCCAAAAAAAAACAAAGTTGTTGACAAGATATTAATACAACCTCATATTCATTTATAAATATTGATAGTGCAGGACACAGGAGAGAGGTAAGCATCAATGTCTCAGTGCAGTAATACAAATCTAACAGGCCCAAAAGCATAAGATGGCTAAACTGGATTCCAATTCCTTGCCATGCTTGCTTGATACATTAGGGAGGGGGGGGGGGCACTTTTAGAAACATGTTCTCTTCCAGAGTATCCATGTCAGAAAGTTTGGACTTTGTTTTCATTCTTATGGCAAATGTGGAATTAGCAGAGGCTGAAAAACTTTTGCGAGTTCAAACAGCCATGATAAGAATATCTATTTGGTCCAGAGTAGTGTGCAATGTCGAAGTAAACAAGCATGATTTAGTACCTTAAATCTGTCATGCTCAGCCAATTCAAAGACCAATGAATCCCCTTCCTCCAGGTTGTGGTGCATTGCAAAGCCCCTCCATCCACCACTTAGACCTGTTCGGTTTCCAATATAGACAGCATCAAATTCAACACCCTCTTCGTCCTCCAACACCATCCTAAACTCTTTGGAAGGCAGATTATCTTTGCAGAAGCTTGTAGGAAGACCCTTGTAAAGCGTAAAGAAAATATCCTTGATTAGAAATTGATCCTACGCTTTTCTGACAAATTAGTCAAACAAATTCTAGAATATCTTAGAGCTTACAAGCCAAAAGCAGCTGGACACATGTGATCGAACCATGGTCTTAACAAAAGATGGGTTATTAGGGTCTAGACTGTCTTGAAGTTTCTCAGCTTTTCTGAAAGCACGTTGTTGCTGTTGATACGAAGAAATTCTTCCTGTGTATTCTCTTCCATGCTCTGTATTCCTACCACCACTGCGCCTGTTCAACACAAGAAAGTAGCTCATAGTTGGGTCTAGTCACAAACTCACAATACCATCGAATCTACATTGATAAGGTAAACAAAGACATTACCTTGTGCCACGCAGAAAAGTATCCAGTTCACCAAACTGGCAGAACAAACAAAAAAACATGTCCGGGTCAACATTCTTATGATTATGAACAAAACCTCCTCGCCCTACTAATTTCAAAAACTAAATTTGATACAAAATCACAACCTTATGGGGGTCATAATTGCCAATCATGAGATTGAGAGATTCTAATGTCATCCCAACAAACATGGAATAACTCATTCTTGGATGAATTAGTTCCTGAAACCAAGGTGTGTTTGGTTCCATGGATATCCATGGATGGGACATGGATATCCATGAATACAGGGTGTTTCGTTAGATGGACAAGCTGAACCTGGATATCCACAACAGGGAATATTCTGGGTAGATGCTCCCGGCCCTCAAAAATCTAGCGGATGAGGATATCCACATGTTGATTAGCGCATGTTTTGTGTGACAATTAGAGTAGTATAGTGCTAATTAACATATTTTATTTTTAATTAGTGATTATAATGACAAGATTAGTGTCCGTGCATATTTATTAGGGTATAATTAGTTGTTATTATTTTTAAATAATAGGTATAATTAGTCAAGTATTCTCATCCCATGCAATCTCATCCATCCAACCAAACAAAAAAATGGCTCGCCCCATCCATCCAACCAAACAGACAACATGGATATCCATATCCCGAAATCCATGGATGGCCATATCCCATCCACCCTTGTCCTCAAACCAAACACACCATGCCCCCAAACCATGGCATTAACTGTTCATAAGGGATGTGACTATTCAGGACATGAGATGTCTACCCCACACAATCGAAATGTAAAATAGGCTATACTACAAGAATTGCAGGAATGAAATTCGACGGGACCCTCAAGCAGGGTACAGTAACAGGTACCAATTTCACGAAAAGTGTGCGTTTTTTATCAGTATTACATACAGTCCAATGAAGAACTCACATCGTCCTTGTAGGAAACCGTGGTCTTCGCCCTCGAAGAACGCCGCACCTCGGTGGCGTCGAACTTCTTCCTGGCCTTGGGGCTCGCGCGCACGCCGGCCTGCAAACAGAAACACAACAGCTCAACACAGCATCGCCACACTAGCCCGTAAACACGCGCGCGAGGTGCAAGCGGTGTACGTGCGGCAAACACCTTGTTCTGTTTCTGCAGGCGCGCCGCCTGGAGCAGGCTCTTCGACATCTCCTTTATACCCAAATCCTGCGCAGAGAAAACGGGCGCGAGGGTTAGGAACAAAAACAGATCGATGGAAGAACCCGCGGAAATCGGCAGGGAAGAAAGGAAGAAAAGAGAGGGGGCATCCATGGATTGGTCCGTCATCCTCTCGAGGGGTAAGGGGAACGGGCCAAGGGCGTGCTCACCTCCAGGTGCTTGAGGTTCTCGAGGACCCGCTTCCTGCGCTGCTCCTCGTAGGCCGCGCCGGAGGCGGCTGCGCTGCTCGCTTTCGCCGCCATGTTCCCGCCGGCCGCCGCTCTCCCTTCTCTCCCTCCTTCCCTCACTCGGCGAGAGTGGAGCGAGAAAGCGAATGGTGAGTGTGGCTTTTAGAATTCTTTTCTACGGAAGTAGTACCAGTAGTAGAGAGAGAAAAAGGCAGGCGGAGACGACGAGAGGGGAGAGGCCACTTGCCTGGTATGGGCATTGAAATTTCAAATTCGACAGGAGCCGAGAGAGATTCCTCGTGGAATAGGACTCGAGAATCTACGAGCCATGGCCGTCCACCGGGCCGGGTTCAGGGTGGCTGACGCAGGGGGCCCAGTCGGCGTGCACGTGGACCGTGACAGCAAGACGTTGACTCGTGCTACTCGAGAGTTTACCCATTTTATAAAGTACTCTCTCCATTTTAAATTATAAGTAATTTTAATTTTATTAATAAATATTACTTTCGTTATACGTGTAAATATATGTTATGTCTAGATACATAGCTACAATTTAGAGGGAGAAGTATAGATTTATAGTAATGATACTTCGTCCCTGACAAAAAAAAACAAACAATTTTCTAGAATCAACTTAAGTTAAACTATCTTAAATTAAATTAATTTTATAGAAAATGATAAAAATATTTATGGCATCAAATAAGTATAGTATTACGAAAATATATTTCATAGTGTACCTAGTGATATTAATTTTGTGTCATAAATACCGGTGCACTTTTTTATAAATTTGATCGACCTTAAAACTATTTGACTTAAAATAGCCTTAGAAATTAATTTAATTTAAGACGGAGAGTAAAAGAGATCAGGAGGTTAAAAGCTCGTAGAGTCAGCTAATTGCCTGCCTTCTCCTTAGTAATTTTTTTTGTCACCGGATAATTAATTTATTAGGCTAGTTAGGTAGTTTATAGAATTTTATATACGTTAACTTCGCCATTGTTAACTAAAGATGTTCATGGCATATTACAAATAGTTGTTTATTTGTCCAGCTCGATCTTCTCAATATGGATTTAGAAACTTTTCATGTTTGTGTGATAATGATGTTTATCTTGCCTGGCATATAGACATACTCCTCTGTCCCGTTTTAATAGTCGTTCGGGTACTGCAGTAAAATGTTACATTCACTATCTCCTCCATGCATATGGACACATGCAACGTTCAGATCCAAAGAATCTTCACGGTGCCGGATGAAAGCTAAAACGACTATTAAAACGGGACAAGGGAGTATAGCTGTAATTGTATAGTTAAAGTTAGTGAATATCCAACCTCCACCAGATGTTCATTGATCAGTGACACTATCGTAGATGTGCCCCCCCTCAGAAAAAATAGTGCTCACCCTAACTCTTTTGTGTCCATATATATATACACACACTCTCTTAGACCAGTCTCAATGGACAGTTTCATAGTGCAGTTTCCAAGACTGCGATGTCATATATAATGAAATAAAACTTGGATGAAGCATCCACTTTCAATGTAAAGTTTCATTCTAGAGTTTCATAGGAATTTAATTTCATGACTCATAGAGAGTTAGAGCCTGTTTGGTTCCCCTGCTAAAGTTTAGCTACTAAAAGCAATGACTAAACTTTAGTCGCCCCTATATGGTTTGAGTGACTAAAGATCATTAAAACAGTTCAACAAAGACCAAACTATCTCTAATGAATGCTCAAATCAGGGTGGGGGACCAGCAATAATGAGGGACAACCCTTGTCCATTGGGCAGTTTAGTCCACTTTTAACTACTATTGGGTGACTAATGTGACTAAATTACTTTAGTCCATTTTTAGTCAGTTTGTTTGGCACTTTAGTAGATAGCTAAACTTTAACAGGGGGAACCAAACATGCCCTTAGTATTCATGCTAAGAGTGTTTCATCTAGATGAAACTTATTTCATCTCTTTCTTCTTAAATACATTGTCATGTCATTAAAAATACCTATGTAGCAACCTAGTTAATGCAAATAAAACTTACATGAAACTTACGCTGAGAGTGGCCTTAAAGCAAGTACAATAATAGACGCAACACCGAGCATGTCAGCTCGTGTGGCTAAGTTGGATGAGAGAGCGGAGGGAAGAGAAAGTTGCTGGTTGCTCCTGCAGTGCTTGGCGCATCGGCTAGGCCCACTTTGAGTAATGGAAGAGAGAGAATGTCATTTGCTCTACTGTTGTGTATGAAAGTGGATCTGGAGAGAGAAACAAAGAAAACTAGTAACAGATTGTGGGATCATGAATGAAATAAAAAAACTATTAATATGGTTGCTAGAGAATAGCCAGAGACAAGTTATTGTATGAATTGGCTCTAATTTTTGCTAATATGGCTTGTCTTATAAACAAAGTAATTGGCTCTATTATTAACCTTCCTCTTACAGCATCTCCAACGACACCCTAAATAGGATTCCCAAATCTAATAGGGTTACAACTCAAGTCCCTATTTTATAGAGGCCCCCAAATCTCCTTCCTCAATCACATCTCCTAGGGGTATGTAGAGAGCTCCCTACACCCCCCAATCCAACTCACTCACGCACGTCCTTTTTTATCCTGACTTTCTCGCGTCGCTGCCCAGCCATTTCCCTGCCCCGGCGACGCTCCTTGGCCTAGTGTGGCTCGCCTCCCCCGGCTCATCGAAGGCGCCCGACCCTGCCACGGGTCCCCTCTCTATGCCTTCTCCAGTGGTCCTCGCCCTCCCCATGTCGTATCTGGTGCTCCTCCTCGATCTCCCACGCCCGCATAGCTCATCCGAGTGGAACGATGATGGATATGGGCAAATGATGAGTGGTCCTTGTCAGGGACCTAATACTGGGGTACCCAATGAGGTGGAACTAAAAACTATCAAACGCTGATGGTTTCAAACAGACAAGAATGAAACTGCACTTCTTGCCCATACGACCGAAGGTTGGCCACGCCTCGCCCGGCCCCTAGGGGTTGGCTCCGCCTCGCCCGACCCCCAAGGGCTGGACTCCACCTTGCCCGACGTCTGGGGCAGACTCCACCTCGCCCGACGGCCGAGGGCTGGCTCCACCTCATCCGACGACTAGGGGCTGGCCTCGCCTCACCCGACCCCCGAGGGCTAGGCTCCGCCTCGCCCAATGACTGGGCTGGCTCCACCTCTCCCGACGTCACGGGATAGACGCCGCCTCGCCCGACGGCTGAGGGCTGGCTCCGCCTCGCCCGACGTCTGGGGGCGGGCACCGCCTAGCCCGATGTCTGGGGGCGAGCTCCGCCTCGCCCGACGTCTGAGGGTTGGCTCCGCCTCGCTCGACGACTGAGGGCTGGCTTCGCCTCGCCCGATGTCCTAGGACAGGCTCCGCCTTGCCCGACGACTACACCCTGCTCCCTCATAATGGCGAGCATAGGGTAAGACAGGACATTCGAGTCAACCGCAGTACCGAGGACCATGCCCTGCACGCATGCGAGAAAGTACCATCGGGATATGATGGGACGGGCGCTTTAAGCCCTTCCAGGCATGACAGAGCCCGAACAGTGTTGTAGGCGCCAACTTTTGTCTTACAGTGTTGTGGGCGCCGCCATCAGCCCTCGGACGTGGATCCTGACATAAGCATACGACAACCACTACAATCCAGGAGAGAACTCGCATCATCTATAGTTACGGACATATAGTCACTTCCCCATCTGCTCCCCGTAGGGTCACGGCTCAGCACCCTAGCACGCCGCATCGTCCGCCGAAGTCGGATGGGACGTGACCACTTGCTAAAACGAAGCCAGAGCATGACCCTATCAGGATCAACAAACATATTATCCCTGGCATGGTCTGCCATGTTAGCCGGGCAGGCTCAAGGGAAAAGGAAGACCTGGCACCTTCGAAGGACCTTCTCTACCTTTGGTTTTTTTCTCTTTCTCCCATCTATAATCCCTGCTCCCCCTTGGTCTATAAAAGGGAGGGCAGGGCACCCCACTAAGGGGACATATCGATTTCACACACAACACATCACACAACACATAGCCAAGCAGCAACCGAGCTCTTGGCATCCTTTCGACCTTTCCATCAGAGACTTGGGACCTGTCCCTCTCTCGACCGTTTGTACCCCCTACTACGAACCTTTTTCGGTGCTAATAACATGAGCAGCAGCAGCAAACTGGACGTAGGGATATTCTGCCTGAACTAGTATAAACCTTGTGTCCTTTAGCACACCATCCGGGCCTAACGTGTAACAAATATAAATTTACTAGTTGGAGTTTACTCGAAACACCAATAGTTGGCGCGTCAGGTAGGGGACCTTTGCGCGTTCTGACGATAAATATCAGGCCACGGATGGCTAGCCACAGCATCAGCTAGGTCCCAGGCGCACACGTGCGTTTTGGGAGCCTAGACTTCATCATCACGGTGGTAGGAGAGTTGGCATTGGCTCATGTCGCCATCCAATCTCTCCCCTCCATCAGCATCAACCACGAGAGTCTTGAGCGCCAGCTTGGTGTCTCCCTTGGACCCCAGCGGTCCAGGGAGGACCAGCGCCACCTCACCCTTTCCGACGCCCATGACATGATGTGGTTTTTCGGAGGTGGGTCCCTCTCTCCAAAACACCACATACGGAGCACCCCGACAACGTTTTCGTTCGGTCTCTGCAACGCTACGGCGACCGTTAGCCACCTTGTGGCACGACGCATGGTTCTACTGCCCGTGAACAACGAGTTCATGGGGGTGATCGAACACATCACAAAATCCCTCCACAACCTTCTCACAGAGGGGCCAGGGTCATCCTCTGGCTCTGACTCTAGCAGGGGGAGCCATCACCCCTCCCGGGAATGCTTCATGATGGGTACCCTCGAGGGACATGTCGAAAGCATCTCCACAGAGGTGGCTACCTCGGTGGGCAACCTCGGCAACGAAACTGAAGGGGAGACAGTGACTCCACCTCGCATGGGGGTAGAGCAACTGAAAGCCCAAAAAGCAAGAGATCGAGGAAGCTGAAATCCAGCTTGTGTAGGAATGCGTGGAGCTCGATCGGGAGATCGAGCACCGCAGAGACGGTGGGCGCGCACGCGCCATGGCCCATGATGTGAACCAAAGGATC